TTCAGAGTGGGAAGAAGCCTAAGGTACTACGAACTGATAATGGCTTTGAATATTGTAATAAAATATTCTGATCTATGGGGATCTCCTAATGTGACTCTGAGTTTATCCAAATGTCAATACTACATATCATTCTGATCTATGGGAATATTGTACTATATATGTTCATTCTGATCTATGGGGATCTCTTAATGTGACTCTGAGTTTATCCAAATGTCAATACTACATATCATTTGTGGACGATTACTCGAGAAAGATCTGGATATATTTTCTGAAAACGAAGGATGAAGCTTACTCAAGATTCATAAGGTAGCTGGCTCTAGTTGAAATTTCAGAGTGGAAAGAAGCTTAAGGTACTACGAACTGATAATGGCTTGGAATATTGTAATAAAATATTCTGCAATGCGAAGGGAATTCTAAGACATAACACATGTCCTTATACGCCTCAACAGAATGGTATTTCTGGGTACTTTGGCTGAGAGAAGTGAAAGACTGGGCCGAGACATGAATGTGTGTAGGCCCAGCTGAAAGTTCAACTTCTTGGTTAAGTCCACGAGTGAAAACTCTGCGTTTTGGTCTAGGACACACGAAGAGTGTGAAGGAACAGGCCATGTGCAATTCCGTTGAAGATTTGTGAGCTGGCATAGTCAAGTGGTAAGCGAATCTATCTGGGGAAACGGAATATAAAAGGGTACATGATAAGAAGAGAAGAGTAATACGCACCTTTACGTCTAAGAGATCTAAGACCACCTCCATCCATTAGGACCTCTAATGGGTACTTAAAATTAAATTAATGTTTAATTTAGTGATTAGAAAGTTTTAGAACTTTTATTAATCTATTTAATTGTTTCCTCCTCCATTGGTAGAACCTCATGAAGGTACTTAAAAAGATGATACATAAGATTTTTATTATGCATGTTTGTAAAGCTGATCAAGAATCGGAAGTTTTTTCACTACTGTTTGTTTACACGTACATTTGTAGTTGGCATGGATGTTGTTATGCTGCCTATTTGTTCTTTTACTGTAAGTGCTGTACATGAAAAAGCTTTATCTAATTAAATCAAATCGTATTTGCCTCCTGCATTTGTTTGTAATTTGTTGGATAAGGGACGATGCAACCAAACTATATAAGCAAAGATGCGTTCAAAAATAAAAGTAAGTTACAGAACAAGAAACACTAAAAAGAATTAGGCAAAATCATCCACAAAGTGCATAATTGAAAACTGACGGCAGCCTTGGCGCCGGTTGGGTCCTTCTTGTCAACACTCTTGATAACTCCAACAGCAACAGTCTGCCTTATGTCCCTAACTGCGGAACGTCCCAATGGTGGGTACTCTGAGAAAGTCTCAACAACCATGGGCTTGGTGGGAGTCATCTTCACCATACCAGCATCACCATTCTTCAAAAACTTAGGCTCCTTCTCGATCTCCTTACCAGAACGTTTGTCAATCTTGGTCAGGATCTCAGAGAACTTGAATGCAATGTGGGAGGTGTTGCAATCAAGGACTGGAGTTGGATGCAACATACCCACGCTTGAGATCCTTGACGGCAACATTCTTGACAACTAATAATAATGAACGTTAGCTAACCTTGTTACAGCAGCAAATTGAAATAAGGAAAGAGTTTGAACATAGACTTAATTAAAAAGGTAAAAAAGGTTCAGAGAGATACTTGATAAACGGCTCGAGCACAACAGATTAAAACATAATTACGTTAATACAAAATCTGAATTGATACAGAAGATTAAAACTGAAAACAGAGCAATCACAGTACATGAAACTAACAGAGGGTAGAGCATACTTGCAACACAAAGTATATGTCTTTTGATGACTCAAGGACACACTTGGATATTTACTCACAAAGTAAAAACGTTTCCAATGTTAGTCGAGCAAACAGATAAAAGAGATAAAATTTACATCATCACTATGAGGAGGAACAGAGCTTATGCTAGTGGCAACAATACTCATGGGTATGAAACAACAGTGAGGAGATGGGTATTTGCTCAGAACCGAGGAAATTAGGAACTCAATCAAACCCAGATCCTAAATCCATAATATAAAGACTGAAGTTGATTTCAAATCAGAAAATCGAGAGCTCAAAAGGAAACCCTAATTTCGAAAAAACCTTAACCAAACCCAAAGACACCAATTTAAGTAGCGCTCCTCTCTTTTCTTTTCTTTTTTGATTTATTTTTCTCTCATTTTTTTTGAGGACCTCCACTTAAGAAGTCCCGATGGACATGCTCTAAGAGAGCTTGAGAGAAAACACGTGAGAAGGGTGAGTGAGATTCATCATCTTCTTCAGGATTATTAAGTTCTTTGTATTAGATCTTCTGGTGAGTGACGTGAGCTTGGTGAGAGATAGAGTTTGAGCGTATTACTCTGTATCCTATTACTGACGAGACGTACCAAGAATGTTCGTTAATACCGCTTGAGAACTCTATATTTCTGTGTTTTTACTTTTCTGGAAACACAAACAACACACATAAGAAAATCGGATACATACAAAAGAATGGACTAATAACTTGATCCTCCAGGCTTAAACCACAACAATACACTATCTCAAAACTTCTCTTAATAGATGAGGTGTCAAAGTGCCAAGAGCCATATCAAAGTGCCAAGAGCCAGTCATTAAATACGACTGAAAAAATACAAAACTGGTTGCAAATGTGAGCAAAAAAACAGGTTACCGCAGTGCATAATAAAGTTTATTCACTAGTGTACTGAGTTGAAAATTGCATTTAACAAGATTCAAAAAAAAATCACTTGATTTTCTTATATGTGGTGGGTTCACTTACTTCTTTAGTACTTTGATTAACAAAAAAAGAATATAATATAATATGATACATGGAGAAAAGGAAAAAGTAGTTGTAAGGAAAGTACGTGTCGAATTACCACTGTCCATAACCAACGATAACAATAAACGAACCAACATCGACTAGACACATATTGAGCCGAATATCAGCCGTTGAATGTCACTGTAACGTGGACGGATGTTATTTCCCCTTCACATCAGGCTTTGTTTGTGGGAAGATGTCAGAAACCAAAGAGTCTTCTTACCTCTTTTCATTGGTCCACGTCTCTTGTTTCTAGAGAGGCCCACTTACCATTATCAAAACCACCCACCTTATTATATCTTTTGTCTTTAAAAATTAAATAGAAGGACAATAATACTCTCAATTCACTAATTACAGTATTTTCTTATTGAAGTTCTTCATCATTGACTCTAGTAGTCACGGTTAGGTTATTGGTTAAAAAACAAATACATCTAAATAACGCTACTCTGTTACGTATTATTCCCTATCTTTTAACTTAAAAGAACATATTTAACTAGCGAGACATATGTTTTAGTTATCCATTTAAATCATCAGTTAATTTATCAGAATTATACATTTCTCAAGGAATGCATTTAAATCATCAGTTAATTTATCAGAATTATACACTTCTCATCAGTTAGTTCAGTACAAAAGAAAATTATCAGAATTATACATTTCTCAAGGAATGCATGATATCTTAACATGTAAATTACAAACTTATCTAGCTGTTGCATGTGCAAAAAGGTTTTGCCCGAGCTTGGCCATGGCTTCTTACCATCTTTCGCTAAACGGACGATATCTAAATGTTTAATGCTTAATCAAATACCTAAATTGTTATTTTGACAGTCTAGATATGTATAAAATGGTAGCTCACTATTCTTTTAGCATGTCTTCAGATCCATCTAATTCCACATACTGTTGAATCTGCTTTCCATGACCTATCGACACTTCATTAATTAAAGGAGTTACCAAGTGGAAAAGGAGACTACACTTTGCTACATTCTGAGAGCATCATTAGTTTCATCCCACTCTTTCTTATCAGCCACCATCTTCTCCACTGCAATACAACGCATAAAAGAAACGGAAATGTAATTCGTCATAATAACAACCCTGAGGAAAGCTTAGAACGGTTCGGCACTTCTTCGTAAGTAGTTGCCCATCGATCATAAAAAGATTGAAGAGGATGTTTATATACCACAACAGCTAGAGAGAAGCTTTCTTACACATATGCCTCTTGCAAAACGACACTAGATTAATTATAGAAGTGTATGTTGTCACTCTAAACTCAGAACCTCCTAATTATTAAACATTCATTCCATTTTTTAATAAATGTTTTTTGAGAGAAAAATATGTATTTCAGATTAGCTATATTTTCATTTTAATGTAAAATCAATTAACTAGTAATACATATTTTATATTCTGTAAGTTGTTTTTTTTTATTGATTGAATTTGGTTAGATATATAATAAATGATATTTTGTTTATAAAATATAAAAAAAATATTATTTTTTTTGAAAAAACTTATTTGCATAAACCTAAAACATGAAGTAATAAAAACCTGGATTACAAAGTAGTAGACATAAGAGACCAAGGTCCTCATTGAAGATTATGATGTTAAAATTAGCCATTAGCTTTTATAGTCATATTCAGCCAATCAATTTTTTTATGATTTTTGTATTAACTTTACGATTTTATAACTTTTCTTACTTTCTCTTGCCACATTAATTTTTGTTATCCATAAATTATGGCTTTAGTTCTTTTTGTGGCTAATTTGTGGCTTTAATTTTTTTTTCTAAAGCTACAATCAATATTGTAAAGTTGAAAGACTCAAAAATTTTGCAACAACATTTTTAAAGTCCACGACCACAACAATTACAAGTAAACAGAACCTATATATTTTAGTTTATTTGGTATGTATATAGAAATCGTTAATCGAAAATTTGGATAATATAAAAAGTCTACGCAAATTATTGAATAAAAATGTGAAAACCCCATGCCTCTACAGTTGGAGATACTGGATCCATCACCGTATATGCAAAGCAAAAGAAATAAGAAGTCAGACCAAAATAAACAATGCGTAAAAACTAAAAAGTGATTGTGACGCCAAACTATTATTTTGTACTATTTAATTTACAAATGTTAGTATATATTCATATGGTTAGGAGACAGAGAGACACTTGGCCGAGCAGAAAAAGAACCTCTTATTCACACGAACAACGCATCAAACAGTTTGGTTTTTCAGCAACGACGACGAAGTACACGGATTAACCCAAAAGGTTACAGACTTACAGGTAATATTTACTCTCTCTCCTTGTGGATAAGTACCACTAAAGCCTGAGGCTTGCTCATCTTCTCATAATTGTTTCCATTTATGTCCATATTAATTTTGGATAAATTAAAAATCTAACTTATAATTTTGAATCTGATGCTATCAGCTTTTATCAAAATCTTGTAGAGTCTGTTAGTGTGTTTTTTTTTCTTCTTCTTCTAAGTTTTGAATTGGATTTTTGCAGTTTTTCTAGATCTTCTCTGTGTGTTCTGATCTAATTCTGTGAAATGCATGATTTTGATGACAAGGGCATTTTTTCAGATTAATAAATAGCTGAAACTAGTGGAAGCAGATTGGTGAGCAAGTAACATGAATTTCAAGAACAACTTGGGGAATGAGCCACCAGGAGACGGTGGTGGTGGTGGAGGAGCGTTGACCAGACAAGGTTCGATATACTCGTTGACATTCGACGAGTTTCAGAGCAGTTTAGGTAAAGATTTTGGGTCAATGAACATGGATGAGTTGTTAAAGAACATATGGACTGCTGAAGAAACACAAGCCATGGCTGTGGCTGCTTCAACCAGTAGTGTTATTCCACTTGCTGGAAGCCAAGAGGGTCTGCCGTTGCAGAGGCAAGGCTCTTTGACTCTGCCCCGAACGCTTAGCACGAAAACGGTTGATCAAGTGTGGAAAGATCTGTCTAAAGATGGAGGCGGGACAAACTTGACCCAGTCTCAGAGTCAGAGTCAGAGTCAGAGGCAGCAGACGTTAGGTGAAGTAACTCTGGAGGAGTTCTTGGTACGTGCTGGCGTTGTGAGAGAGGAAGCTCAGATTGCTGCAAACACGAGTTTCTCTGTCCTGGCTACTCCTCAAAATGTTGTTCCCGGTTTAGTGGGGAACCGTGGTGCCGAGACTCTGAATCATATGCAGCAGGTTCAAGGTTCTAGCTTGCCTCTGAATGTAAATGGAGCAAGATCTACATACCAGCAACAGCCAATCATGCCTAAGCAGCCTGGTTTTGGCTATGGGATAAGAGGTGGATTTGGAGAACAGTCTGTAACGAACAATATGGGGGGCTTGGTCCAAGGTACTGGTACCATGGGCGTTGGTGCAGTGTCTCCTGTTACGCCATTGTCAGCAGATGGGATAGGGAAGAATAATGGTGATTCTTCATCGCTTTCTCCGTCTCCTTACATGTTTAATGGTGGTGTGAGGGGTAGAAAGAGTGGTGCTGTAGAAAAAGTTGTCGAGAGGAGGCAAAGGAGAATGATAAAGAACCGAGAATCAGCCGCAAGGTCACGGGCCAGGAAACAGGTAAAACATTTGATCTCTGCATCACCTTGTATATGTGTTACGGCTTATGTTTTTAGTCAAGTTTCCCTTTAACCATAGCCAAGTGTTGAGTTCAAAAGCGTAAGGTGTCTTGTCTAAAACACTGTTGTAAACTGAATCACTGGGACCTGAAAGCAAAACCGTTCATGAGTACTTTAAGTTTCTTGTGGTTGAATGAGTCTTGGAAACACAAATATGAACCTTCTGGGTTTGGTGTATGTGGGTGTTGCAATTCGCAGATGTTCTCGGCAGACCAGACAATGTACTGGAATGTAATTTACTGAAGGTTACTCAGAGGTTGTATTTGAGGGTTCAAGTTCATCAAGGTGTTATAGTGACTCCATTTGTGTTCTTTAGTTTTGTTTTTATTTTTTGCGGGAAGGTAAAGCGTGATTGATCCTCTCAAAACTAAGAAATGATTAAATGTGACCGTACTGTTGAATGGCACTCTAGTATTATCTCATAAGCTTCTCAGTAGTGCTTGTTTGCTTTGTTAGGCTTATACCGTGGAGCTTGAAGCTGAAGTTGCCAAGTTAAAGGAAGAGAATGAAGAGTTACAAAGAAAGCAGGTAATCACAAACCATATTATTAGCATCATCATATCCCTTCAGATGCTACATTCTTTTCTTTTAGTTTCTCATCGTAACCCTTGTGTGTTTACAGGCAAAGATTATGGAAATGCAAAAGAATCAGGTACTCATAGCTCCGTTTGACACTAATACCGCATTTATTAGTCTCTAAACCGCACATTTCATAACTGAACCGGTTGTTTCCATGCTGTGTATATTTACAACAGGAGATGGAGATGATGAATATTCAAGGAGGTGCAAAGAAAAGGCTGAGGAGGACAGAGTCAGGACCTTGGTGAATCATACTTAGTTTCTGTAGATAAATAATCCCTACATGTGTTTAGTTTGAAGACCAAAGAGAGAGAGAGAGAGAGAGAGAGTTTCATGGTTTATATTGTAAGCTCTTTCCATATGTGTTCTCTTATACATACACAAAGTTATCTTAATCTCTTTACTTTAATTAGACCAAGGTGCTCTTTGATTAACAGCTTGTATCATCGTGCTTGTTTCTTACTCTCAGTCTTTCTCTTCATTACAACTTCGTGTTCTTATTTTGGGAGATACTAATTTGCATAACTCTAAAAAAAACTTAAGTTTTGTCAGTTTCTTGTCAGAAGTCTTGAAGTTATAAAACGTTTTCTTGTGTTATTATGTGAGGAGGTAACTCTTTATATACAAAGACACACAATTCTTAACTTAACGTATACAAAGCATATTTACAGATACGGCCTATAGACAGGGGTCTTCATCGTTCATGAGCATCTCGTCCTTCGACCGTCCTTTATCCCCTCGGTCATCACTTGGTTCGTAACCAAGGCACACCCCGTCTAAGCCATATCTCTTCTTCATATGTTGTCTCGTTTCGACCATCCCATTTCCGTCCAACCACAAGCTTCATCACTTGGTCTGTCAAAGGACGAAGCATACGAGGGATTGATCATGTGCAACCATGGTTGAACTTTGAACAAACCTTAATCATGTAAGTGTCCATAACCATTCATCAAACCAACTTTTATTTCCGAATGTTGATTATATAGCAGGTTCTCTTACGATCATCATATCAAGCCTGAACACTTTTTTATTTGACGATAAATATTTGGGAGAAAGTTAGAATGACTCAAATTTATGGTGATATTACTAGAATGACTCATATTTTTTTTCAAATTATTAGAATATTTTCGTGGTCAAAATTACCCCTGCCGTACAACAGAGTTGTTAAAAATGTCTATCGTATGACACAACAGATTTGTCTATATTTTGTCTGATTTGTATTAAAAAAACGATTTCTTAAATATGTCTGTCGGATGACACAACAGATTTGTATCAAACCACAGATTTGTGCGATCGACTTATTTTCGAAAGGCAGACTTGTTGAGTTATGACC